GTCAAACCTCTTCCAGTAGCAGCTTCGTTTGTAGCCCCGAGCTTCAACTGCTGCTTAACTTATGGTATGAAGTTAGACTACAAAAGCAAATCTAACTCATGGCCAAGCACGCGAAAAAAAAACAAAAAACACAGACTCAAAGGATTTGTGTTTCCATAACAGGAGCTATTAGTGATCCTGTGTAGGTAGGACGTGGTTTTCATGGCCTGTGAAATGAATTACAGGCTTGCAGCGGCTTCTGTGTACATAGCAGCAATGACTTCTGCAGCGTACAGCTAGTCTTAGGAGGAGCCCACTCCCAAAGTTTAACTTTGCTGACTCGACGACTGTACACCAAAGTAAACAGAACATCACAAGGAACACAATGACACCCATTTTAAACCTAACCTCAATATACAGGTTTGTTAGAAGCCCGTTCAGAGTCAAAACACTGCACAGCAAAGTAAATATAAAAATACACACACACAATAAAACAGCCAAAGCTGTGGTTACTGGGGAATGCAGCAATAATACAAAAGAGACAGGAATGGTTGGCATTTTATCTGCTGTGCTCATTCAGTGCCAGCTGTGGAGAGGCGGGAGGGAAAGTAGGTCAGCAAAATGAGACTCTCATGAAAGTATTCTGTAAAGCGCCTCCTCGCTGCCTGCCGCTGCGCAAAACTCAACCACATGTATACACAGGCGCACACCTACACACTCATGCTCCATACAAAGAGACAAAAGTGCTGCATGTCCCATACACACACAGGCGAGATGATAGAAGGTGATTTACAGCTGCTGAAAACTAATGCTGACAGTCGAGGTCTTTGCCCTTGGTGGCAGGAAGTAAAAGCACTGTGAGAGAGGGAGGGAGAGAGAAGAGGGTGGGGGGCAAGAGAGAGGCAGAGAGAATGTGAGACAAGGAGACAGAGGTGTGGGAGGGGTGTGCCAGAGCATGACTGTACTAAAATGGAACTCCTGCCAAACCTTTTACAGACAAAACCAGAACCAAAACCAAGGGCTGACACTCCGTACACTCACAATGGGCTTTTGTTGCTAACAAATACTTAAACTCACTGGCACAGTGTTCATGAAAAAAAAAATCTGTATTTACAAGGATAAGTAAAAGAATGAAAATGTATGAATCAGAAAACTTCTTTTGGGACTTCATTTATTCATCTTCTACTGTCAAATCTTTTTTTAGGGTTGTTGGAGGGGGCTGGAGGGTCAGGAGCCAATCCCAGCAGTCACTGAGCGAGGGTAGGGCTACACCCCGCTCTGTTTGCCCATCTATCACGGGGCAATGTATAGAGACGACAAGAGCCGTTCACACACCCTGACAAGGAGTCAATGATAATTCCACTTTTCTTATGAAGTTTTTTTTATAAAAGTTTTTTTTTTCAATTATTAAAATGCTATAGTTGGCCATTTAAGAATAAAAAAAATTGTACTAGCTGTGCAGTACTATTATATTATATACATATAGTATTATATATAATTATATATATTTTATATTCTAAAATATCTATGGTGGGTTTTTTTTGTATTGGATGACAATAGCCCTCCAATAAAATGATGGCAGCAGTGGTCCGTCCAGTGGTTTGAGTTGGAGAACCCTGTTCTAGGGACTGTTTAATTTGGGCCTTGTATCAGAGATCGCGAACCCTAATGGCTTACTTAACTTTAACTTGACCCATGGCTGAACTCTACACACTGAGGTGAACCAATCATTGGCAGAGGAGGAAATGCCACACTTTAAAGTTACGTAACACAGACGTAGGAAACACAATTTGAGGTGTCATAGTATTTCACTGGAAAATGTGGTTTAATGAAGCCAACTCATTTCAAATTATTACGTGGGTGTGCATTTCCCAAAACAGAGAGAGAGCAAAGCCAATTCTGAGAAAAAAAAGTGTTTCCTTGTGTAACCAGTTATTTGAGACAATGCATAAGAGACTGTGTAACCAGTTATTTGAGACAATGCACTAAAACATTATAAAACTATGTTGTTGGTACTTATCTATTGTCAACCACTCATCCAAATCAGATGAATGAGGTAGCAGCTCTAGCAAAGAGGCCCAGAATTCCCTTTCCCGGCCATCTCCCTGATGGTATCTTTACCAGATGTTCTAACCACCTGGTTCCTTCTACACAAAGCCCCAGCAATTCTGCTTTGCGTCTCTCCCAAATGACAGAGTTTCTCTCTTAAACTATAAGGGAGACTCAAGCCACACTGAGGGGAAAACACTATTTTGACTTTTTTTGTCTCACTGTCATGACTAGTGTCTTATAATCATTGACCAGGGTGGGAACCAAAAAGCCTGACCTTTTGCCCAGTAAGGGAGGTCGGTGGCCAAAGGTTTAGCAGGTGAAATAAGAGTAGTCATTTTTCTAAGCCACGTCAGATCAGGAACTTTGTGGATTCAAGGTCACAGGAGCTCAAGCAGCATGGAGAAAAAAAGCACCAGAGCTTGAGAAGCTGGAGGACTCAGGTGACCTGATGAGAAACCACCTGAGCCACTGCAACTCAGTATTCAGCTGACTTCAAACCACTAAAGTTAAAACACGAGGTCATTTTAATAACCACTGCACGGCGCTCATGTGTACGGGAATAATAAATAATCAAAAACAATCGGTCCGAGCCTTACAAAAATGATGTGAGGTCAAATTACGTCCACGTCACACTTGTATGACACGCAGGTGCGTGCATATCCCATGATAACAAAACCATAACGTGACCCAAATCACGCAATAGTTAAAACATTAGGTGTATCCCATAATGGTCAGCAGACATCAGGATGACTTTCAGAGAGGTGTGACAACAGGATTAACTACTACTTATGAAAACAACGCAAACATAATTCCCTCCATTATTTCCCTCACTGAAACGACAGTCGGCGCATGTCAAGGCTTTGAAGAGTTTACTCCCTCGCAAGGAGTACACAGGTGTGAATGAAGAGGCGCAAACAAACATCCTTTAAACACACGTCCCGAAGCCCTTGTGAAGACTTTGAAACTGCTTCGTAACAGGGCCTCACAGCCACAGAAACAGATTCACCACAAAGCTGCACAGGCAGGGAAAAAACATAAATGAACAAAGGGCACTTTGTGGGGTCGGGTGGAGTCCAAGACTTGACTGAATGGGGACTAAGTCGAAAGCAATCACAGTCGATATTAGAATTCAGCTGAAAACACATGAGCGAGTCAGTAAGGCGAGCGGTCTTTCCCCACATCTCTGCACAGGAATTATTTCCTTCCCACAGTAGAGACTGTGTAAATGCCACAATCCATTCATCCTTTTATTGTTCAATGGACTCCTGCTGTTTGGGGGCAGAGCTACTTCCTATTTTTGGGATATAGTAGCTGAAAGGATTGAAAAGATTTTCCAAAATTATAATCTGCAACATCTAGGTAAATATACAAGCTGAAATAAAAAGGACATCTGCTGAAGACAAACAACAAGGTCAGGATATATAATAAACACCACAGTGGCTCAGGCACGTCCACTTGGAAGGGAAAAAAAAATCACTCATGTATAAAAAGTGGAGGGTCAATGAAGCAAAAATAATGAGGCTTAAAGCCTCAGGATGGCGTGACTCAAAGTATTTGGATTGATACTCAGCACCACATACCTTATAAAAACCTGGGCTTATCAAAACATAACAATCTGGGTACTGAGAAGGTTCAAGTACACAACAAATAAATGTACAAAACAGGGCTTTAAATGTAAAAAAAAAAAAAAAAAAATTACGAACAAAGTTAAGGCTCTTAGAATAACGTAAAAGGTTTGCGTCTCATTTCTCATTTAATTTCTATGACATTTTTGTTACATCCTGTCCTTATCACCGCTGTTATGTCTCACTTTTTCTTGCACAAATCAATATTATGGAGGACATCAAACATTCCTCACCTAATCACCTATGGATGCCGCACGCCCCACAATTGTAATACTCAACCTTGTACAATCACAACACTAACACTGTGAGCACAGTAATCACAAATGTTTGGTATGTAGCAGAAGTCGGAGCAGACTGTGGTGTATTTAATTAACGCTCGTCTCCAGGATGTGGAGGGTGATCAACACTCTCCTACTCCTTACTAAAGTTTTAAGAATGAAAAGCTCTGAAAATAAACAAACAACGGAGTCAAATAAACTGTGGTTCAAACAAACAAACAAACAACAGGTTTAATTAAGGATATGGAAGTTGTCAGTGTGTTTCAGGAAAACCAAAACACATTGAGCCTGACATTTCAAAGTACCATTTCTCAACATCTTCAACATGCAGCTTAACTGGTAATAAAAGTCAGCCTGGTGATGTAAAAAAAAACTGTCATATCCTACAAATATTTAAATTTGTATTAATTCTATTATTATTTTAATTCATATTAAAAATCTATATTAAATTGATTGAGAGAAAAAAAACTACAGGACTTTCCAGCTTTAACCACAGACCTTATGAAACTGAGAATCTTATCTAAGCTATCTTTTGTAGCTATCATTTTGACAAACAAACCAACCAATTTGTGAAGAAAAAAAAATGACCACAGATTTCAACACAATTTGCAACACATATCATCGTTATCAGGCAGTGCAACACATTGGAGGCTGCTTTTACTGACACTGCAAAATCCTGCAATGATCTGTGCGTCCACACTGCGGCTTTATATTTAATTTTTTTAATGTAGCACTGTTGTATATTCTTTTATTATGCTGTTGTTGTGTACAAATCGTGAGGAATCGTGCAAATGTTTCAGAGCACCTTCTGGTCTGCCATGTCTTTACTGTGCACAGAACAATAAGCCTGTCAAATCTTGCATGTAGGAAAGATTGTAATCAGCATTTAAGTTCAAGGTAAAAGTTTGAATTGCACTGGCTCCATGCATGGTTGAAAAAATGGAGCAAAATAGCCAGTCTACCACCGGAAACAAACATTAACGGGGTAGATTTTAGCTCATGCTGGCGAAGTGAAAATAGATGCTGAGGTCATACTTCACCGCTGACCTCTGCTTTTGTTTCTTACCTTGCAAAAGTGGTGGGGAAGGTGGGTGAGCTGGAGAAAGATTCATTGCCTCTTGGCAAAACCGAGCCGTTTCCAACGTCCTGGACTCTATTCCAGGTTCCACTAATTGTCGTCACTGGAAGAATAAATTTGGACACTGGCTTCTGATCCTTATGCTGCTGAGCGTCACTGCTGCTGGGGCTGACTCCAAAGTGGTAGCTTGGTCCTCCTGATGTGCTGACCCCACAGATGGAAACGGGATTTGAGCCACTAATTTGACAATGACTCTGTCCAGTAGATGTCTTCTCCTGTTTGATCACACCCGGGGTGCAGAGCTGAATTATGTCAGGATCTTTCTCTTCCTTTACAAATGGAGACAAAATGGTCGGAAAAGTTGTGGGGGAAGTGTTGGTGGACAGGCTAGTGCTGGACTGAACCGGACTACTCATTATGCTGCCACTGATAGCAACGGAGACAGAGCTACTTCCAATGTTGCTCTCGAGCATGGCAGGTTTAATATCTCTGTCTGAGCCAACATCCCCAAGAAGGGAATCATCTGCCAGTGTTGACAGGAAGGCATCGTCGCCAACATAAAAATCTGAGGGGGATCCAGTGAGATCAAAGTCCTGGAGAAGGTCTAGGGCATTTTCACTGAACAACTTTTGGCTTACTTCAAGGGGATCAATCATATCTTGGTCTCCCTTATCCATTGAGAAATCCTCTGTTCTCATTGGGAAAAAGTTAGGATCTGATCCCCCAATAAGTGAATCCATGGAGGACTGGGTAATGTCTACTATACTGCCCTCAAACTGAGGCAAAGTATGGCTTAGGGTCTGAAGTCCAAATGTGGTGGATGTCTGTATCGGGCGTGACTGCTGCCGTTGAATTCTCGGATCTTTCGTCAACAAGGGTCCAAGTGTGGCGTTGGCAGTGATGGGGGAGAGCTCCTGTGGAAGGGGGCTATTGCTGAGGCCGTTTGGTATCTGTCCTGGCTGCATTAATGGGCTGGGAGGAAGAGCGATGGTTGCAGCAGAGGAGATGGGCATAGCAGTGTGAGGAGCCACTTTCAGCAGACCTCCCACCTCAGGGCTTTCAGTGTAGACCAACTTGGTTAAATGGTCATCTCTTCTGTATGTGATCTTCTTCACTCCACCTTTGTCCATCTTTGCATTTTGGTGGAGACACAGACAAGGATAAGGATAAACAGATAATGCAACAACATCCAATAATTTCTCTGTCTCTTCACACTGTACCGTCTCCCCTACTGTTATATAGCCTAAAGTTATGCATGTGACATGATCACATGATTTTTTTTTTCCAAAACTGTGCCCATAAATGAAAATATTTTGTACAATGCACAGAAGAGGTCGACCAGTTTATATAATGGAGCATTTTTTTATTTTTTTTATTTGAGGATCGAGGATCCTTATATCTGATCAGTTAAAGGCATTGTCGGGTCGAATACCGGCCCAAACTGTGGAGTGCTAAACAAACGCTAAAAAAACTCCCCATGTGCAGCCTCACCTACTGCTCCAGTTTAATAGATGGGTTAAATACAGAGGGAGATTTTGTTTCAAGTATATGCACAGTGATAAACAAAGTCACGTCTTTAACAGTGACAATTCATCAATTATTTGATGCAAATTCCTTTGAAAATGACCACTAATGGACCACATTCATTGTCTGACCTCTATTTAACAATGTGCATGGACAGTATCACACTGGTCTTTGAGTGCAATAAAGTGTTGATACAGTTTCTACCCTGGGTTTTAAATTAAGGTTAATTTAGCCGAGAAGAGTATTTTCTTTTTATTATTATTATTTTTTACAATTTTTTCCTGCTGCAGGACAATTAATAATTGTTACTCTAACTGTTCTACAGCCTTACGAGGTTGACCACGTTGCAACATTGAGATCTGAATGCACAAAATATGAATTAGCGGAAAGCTAGTGCGTCACGGTGCAATTTAATTTAAAACCGTCCATGCACAATGCAGGAAAACTACATGTAGGTCAATGTAAAAGATTGCAGTGTTGATGTGCCTGCCCCCCTGCGCGCCCATGACAGCAAATGCAGCTAACTGCGGTACACAGTTGAATGCTACATCACAGCAACAACCACACTGTGGTGTTCAAATGTCACTGTGTGTGTATGCGGGTCAATTATTTTGTCAGGAACGCCACAAATCAATTCCAATTCTAACGACCTTCACAACAATTTAAAATAACATGCTAACATTGTTGACCTGCTACTTAGCATTGTAGCTAACACTTACAGTCACTGCGTGCTTACATTTACACTAGACAGTCGTTGACAGCATGGGGGCTATAATAGCCATTACAACTGAACGCATTGGTGCCAAAAGCGCAATAATGCTATTCTAAACTCACCAGTATATCCTGTGCATTGTGTATGCAGGCGTTGACTTACCCTTGAAATGGCTGGTTGTTTATAAGCGTCCACAGGTCGTTTGTCAACATTGTTTTGGTTTAAAGTGGCAGTTTCTCTACAGCAGCCAACACTGACTCAATGTTTGTTAAGAACGTGTCTCCTCGACGCGACGTGCCCCCGTCTGCATGGCGAGACAAAAAAACAAAACGCCCTCAGAGTAGAGTGGGTTTTTACTGCTTATCTGTCTGCCAGTGCTGCGAAGATCTCAACCGTCACCAAAAACCGCGTCGAACTGACTCAGACAGTGTTAATTCACAGCTAGCCATTAAGAAAGTAGGCGCTAACCTCCAGGAAAAACATCAGCCTACAAAATGGAGAACAGGGAGAGAAGAAGCCCGAGCCGCGGCTGTGACTCTCACAACACGCAGCGACATCTGGTGGATGAAACGTCTCGCTACAGAGAGTGTCAATTAGAAGAACAGAAAAATAAAACATATTTAGGTTATAGAGAAAAATAACTAAATAGACGACAGACAGATATATAGACGATGACATAAACAACAGACAAATAAATGAGAAAATTCGAGGCTTAAATACGGAGCTTGTTTTGTTCTGTTCTGTTTTTGTGCACTGAGGTTTTGCATGAAGTTAACTATCTGCTCATGACTGAATGTACCATAATCTACAACATTTGATGATGCGATCTTAATCAGAATACAAGCATTTTTCTCCAAATGTCTTGACTTAACATTTCATTCCTGAAGAAGCCGTTTTTGCCGTCCTTTATCTACTGTAATGCCCTGGCTAATAGTGTTTGACCTGGAATGAGGAGCAACCAGAGAAACCTGAGCAGAATAACTGGAAGTGATGTGCATGAGAAAAAGGGCTTTAAACTGATGCACTAGAAATATGATCTACACATCCCTTTTAAAGATACCTGTGGGGTCATGATCATGGACCACCCCACGGCCTCCATGATTGATATTTTCACCCAGAATTAAGGGTTTCTGGAACACCAGAACTTGCTATCTATTAAATTTACAACAGCAAAGGCGTATTAAAAAAAAAGAAAAAAGAATTGGACTCCAGTTGCTTGCCTTGCCATGTTATGAGCTAATAGGTTTGAACTCAAAAAGCGATTTGGGACTGAACTGTTTAGGTCAGTCTTTAATACAAAACCTGATAAAACCCCACTTGCTATTACAACATGGTTGAGGTTTTCTTGCTTCATGTTCAGCTGGGACCCATTTGTATTACATTATTCATGCCAGAGTTGTATGAAATCCAACCCTGTCCAAATGATAGACTCTGACCTGAGAGGAGTGGATGAAGAGGAAATAAAACAAAGGCAGGAGGCAGGGAATCGGCTCTAATGGGAGGATGAGTGCGATGAATAAGAAAGAGGCTTTAAAGCACATATGGGAGGACAGTCGTCCTCAAGCAATAGCTGAGTAATAAACTGAAGGGTTTACTTAGCAAGTCCAACACACATTGTGACCTAAACAACTGTAGAATAGTAGCATTGGAATCAACGGTGTCAAATGATGTAAAAAAAATATATTATTTTTATTTTCACCCTGTAGAAACTGCTCCCACCACATCTCTCTATATTACTCATAAAATAAGTGCTGTATGTATGTTCACTGTTGCTCCAAATCTCTGTGAATCCCACTCAGACTCCCGCGGCTGCTTAGCAACCTGCTCGCAACAAAATATAGTCAGAATTAAGCGGACAAAGCGTGACCACTGCCTCCTCGAAACCACCAGTGAAGGGCGTCACGCCTCTCTCTCTCTCTCTCTCTCTCTCTCTCTCTCTCGCTCCATACCACAGGCCTGTGATTTATAAGCACAACTGATAAGCACAACAACTGATACAACAAACAAAACAGACTGAGCCTCACATCTATGTGCACCCGCCCCTCCTCAAGAAATTTTAATTCCTTTTTCAAGTGTTCCAACTGCCTTGATATAAACAGGCAACAACAATCTTTGAACTTGTGAGTTTTCTAATTTTTTGACTGAACAAAATCCTCTGATCATTTGAGATGGTGTTCAATAACCTCCTGGTCTTGATGGTCTTCACATCACGGACCCAGCAGATTTCCACTGGTTTTTCAAAACATCACGGACCCAGCAGATTTCCACTGGTCAGTATATCATCCAGGACTGAAGTGGTTTTTCAAAACTTTTACAGAAACGGCAGACTGTGTGGGCTTTCATTTTGGATGCTTCTCATAGATTTTTTTTTATTCTCAGTCTCCTGCCCTCCAGGCCAAAGAGAGCTATTTTTCCCCCACATAATCATCATCACCCTCATCATCGTCATCACATTGTCAACCTTCCCTGGGTTATCTTTAGCACACACTATTTCAGCATTGTAAGATAGTTTTATTCTGTAACCTCACCGTCCATTTCTGTTCTGGTCATTAGTGACTGTTTGTTTTGACTCTCAAAGCATCAACAGTTACTTCAGGGTTTCTGGATTCTGGATCTCTGGACTTTTTAGTCCAGTTCTTGACACTGGGGTTTCAGTAGCCTTGTATCTAACCATATCACCACATGTACGGCATGTTATTCTAAAACATTTTCCCATGTGAAAGATCAGAATGTGACTAGACATAATCGGTTTGTTTTTTGGATGGATAATTTGGTTAGTCCTTACAAGGCTAATGACTTTGACCTTGGCATTGAGTTCGGTGGGGGGGCTTCTTTAAAGTCCTGTTTGCATGTCTGAAAAGACCTGCCTTAGCCACAATTACATAAATAATTTAAGATTTGTGAATGTTTGAAATGATAAAAATAAAAATACATTAGTGATCAAAATGATGAAAATTGTGTTTTTAGTGTAAAACCCCTGCAAACCCCATGCTTTATTTTAAAATGCGCTGCCTTTATATCATAACGGTGTGGTGGCCCCAGATCTGTCCATGGTGCTGAAGAAGGAATCCAGTCAGTCGAGTCGATATTTAAAGGATCGGGTTCCATATACGCTTTCAGTGTTACGTGAACGAAGTGATTCTGGTGTTATCACCTATTCACTGACTCCAAGTGTCACCTGTGTTTGACTTTATTTAATTCCCACGTCCAGGGTTTGTTTCACATAAACAAAGTTAAAGATTTTAAACCGTTCTACCTGCCTGTGCTAAGCTTCTCTGACTGCCGATGAGCCTCTGAGCAAG